CAACTCCCAGGAGGAGCATTTTACAAGATTACTACAGGTATGATTGGGGAAACTGAATCGGTGATACCACACAATAAGCTCCCGGATAGAGCATTTGGAATGCTGGATTTCCTAATAAAGTATAGACCTAATGCTACAACTCTAACAAATGAGGCATTTATTTTGTTTTCATTTAATAAAACAAATGAATGGCTTGATACTTTGTCAGAATCAGAGAGAGACAAATTATTAAATGATGCCAAAAAGCAAGGAAGGGTTATGCGAGAAAAATTTAAGGAAAGATGCCAAGAGATTGAAAAGAAGAGGGAAGCAGCTTTGAAAGAAAAAGAGGAAGTTTTAGCAAAAAAGAGAGAAAAATCATTTAAGAAAAAAGAAACAGAAACATCAGATATCATCTACTATGGACTGTGGCAGAATGAAAGAACAGTTGATGAAATACTGAGATCAATAAAAACGTATTCTGAAAAGAGAAAAGCCTTGATATCGCAAATTAGATTTCGACAAAATGTCTTAAAGCAGTTTGTAAATGATAGAAGTCTTTACAATGCCTCAGTGAAAGGAAAGGCACTTTCTGTTGATGAACTTACAGTAAATGTTAAAAAACTTATAAATTTAGCTGCTAATTTGGAAGAAACTCCAATAAAACTCACACCTGGCATGCCATTACTTGTTGGAAAAAGGATCAGGCACACTTTTAATGAAGGTGTATTTACTGGAAAAGTACTGAGTACTGTTCCTGGCTTCCCTGAGTTTTTTAATGTTATATACGACAATGAACTTGATGATCAAGGATGTGTTACTGAGACTACGGCAATCTATACATATAGACTTATGAATGACTATAAGGTTAATAAATTGGAAATAATTCCAGAGGTGGTGAGTGTGCAGTGTTCCACTTTCTGTGCACTAACGAATGGAAACTTTGCACCATAACAATGTTTTTTTTTTCTTGCCATAGCACTTTATTTTTTCAAATACCCAGATCACCTATCTTCGCTAGCCAAAGAGTTTTGGTCCTCTCCATTTTTCTTCAGATAAAAAGAAGTGCAGTGGACCAAATCCCTTGCCTAGCGAAGATGAGTTTCCCCCAATTTATCAATCTTTTAGGATAAAATTCCATCCCTATAAAAAAAAAGAGGGAGAGAGAGTTACAATAAAATTGTAATGAAGTTAAAATAATCTGTATGATATTTATAGCACTAGCTTTTAAAGTCAATTAAGGCAGTCTTTAAATTTTAAGAATCTGCTGGGTGAGAGTACACATATATTTTTTTAATTTTTGCACAACACGTACACTTTTTAAAAAAGTAATATTGTTTATACCTAATTTAGCATACTTGTTACTTTGACTAATACCACAAATATTAATAGATATTTAAATCTTCGTAATTATTGTTTTAACTGTCACTGAACATATGACAAATCTGTGGCTGTTATAGCTATTATGTTTATTTAACTCTATAAAAACAAAATGATGAATCGGTATATATAAACAATATATATATTGTAAATTGTTTAAATCTTGAATTATCAAAGAAGTACTATCTGCTGAAATCTAAATGATTCTATATTTTCTTTTCATATCAGCTGTCCAGCAAGGAATGAAGAAGATGAGGTCATACAGTCCGGACTGATACACTAGTATCCTTAATTATAAATAAATTTTAAAGTTATTATATAAATTGAAAATACATCTTTTTTGCTTTTTAAATTGTCTCTGAAGGAATTCTGCTTTAAATAAAAAAATTAACCTGAATAAAAACTGTCTATTTGATTTTTTTTAAAAATGGCAACACTTTTTATTTCAAGCTGTAAAAAAATGAAAATTAAAAAAATTCATAAGTTTTTTATTTTCCAATCAAATTTGAAAAATAAAACATTTTTGGAAATGGTTTTGAAAGCTCTCAAATATAAGGTGTTGCTTTTTCAACCAAGAGGTGTTTTTGAAAATCATGTTCCATAGCTACATTTAGATTAGATACTATAAAAAGAATTAATATCTGTGATATATAATATTTTCCTTTCAAAAACGAGTTATATCTTCAAGATTCACAATCAACAACAAATGCAATTTTCTATTCACAAAACGCTAGCAATGTGAATGAACCGCTATAACAAGATTAACCAAACAAGTCATTATGCTTACCGATACATGATCGACTGAGTACATTTTAACTGAATGTTTGCTAGCACGTTTACCGTGGGCATTTACCTGTAACGAAACAAATCCACGTGGCTTGTTGTGATTCGAAACAGGTCATAGAGGTTAATCGCATGTAAATGAAGACAGCGAAGAGGTTCAAATTCACAATACTTTTAATTAGAAAACATAGAGCACAAAGTTGTTCAACAAAGATATTTTTACTCAACCTTTACACATATAATATACACATTATATATCTAACTCAACTCTGAACAAATCTGTGCTCGGTGTTTACGAAAGCTTGAAAGTGTGTTCCTGTCAGTGATTTCTTTTGATATTCATGAAAATCAAAGGACCCTAACTTCAAAACGCAGCTTCATATGCTGTGTATATCTATTATTTGACATTTTTAGATGAAGATTCAAATAATAAAGACATTATATTACTTATTAATATTTAATTTTTAAAGCCTTTTATAAATGTTCGAAATTTGACGAGTGACCGGGGACCACAGATAAGACTTAAATGAGACTTGTCCTTTGAAGTCATTGTAGACCACAAAACGGCCTTATAGAGAATTATTGTGCATACTCAGTATTAAGCTGTCATTTTCAGCAAATGCTCAATTCTCATGTCTAAAAAAATATATCGATAATTAGACCACACCAATAAAAATTTTTGTTAGACTCACACATTCAAAGAATGGGTGGACTTAACACCCTATTTTGGATCTTTTTGCGACTCCTCTACCAAGCTGTTAATAAAGTGAATCCAAAATATATTACAAACAATGGACAGAGCTGGTTATATTAGGTGGGACATTTGTGAAAAAACAATGCCTTGTTGTCATGTATCAAAAGTGAAGCAACGATACATGAATATCGTCTTCCGGAATTCGGCATGTACCCGGAGTGGTTTTTATGTCACACAATCAATATTTATAGGAGGCGGGGGGCTATCGATCGGCGTCATTGTTGACATTTCTCTCTATCCCCCTCTCTCTATCCAGAAACTCGAATACGTGTTTAGCATGTCAATTGAATATGAAATTATTTTTAAAATGTGATGACACACAAAATTATTTAAAACAATATTTATTCTGAAAATGGCAACAAAACACGAACAAATTAAGACATAATTTAGACCGAAGTCAGTTTTCTAATTAAAGAACAGCCGACAAACATGTGCTGACTATGTATTCAGATGATGAAAAACACGTGAGCCTAATTCAAGAAATCTTCAGGTACCATGCCTTCAATATTTATTAAGTTTACCTAGAATAAAGCGTTTTAAATTCACATCCGTACCATGAATATACGGTTAAGATATCGGGGGTTTACATGTATATGATGGAAAAAAATAAACATTTTATGAAACTTAAATTTACGGCATTTTTTCTGACCAGTTAAGTCCACCCATTCTTTTAAAGAAATGTAAAAACTTATCTGTATTACTGAAATTGATAATCGAACTGCATACTGTAATTTAGATTTTATGTATAACACACTTATACTTACAGTTACATTTCTATAAAATTAAGCTTTTACATTTTCTATAAAATTTAGTTCCTATTTTATACAAATGGTTACCAATTCAATTATTAGCTCATTATCAGGTGATCAGATTAAAGTCAATCGATGCTGCTGATTAAACAATTTTGATTTTCCATAAATTTGACAACACTAGCATACAGCACATAACTCTCAGTTAAATATTGTAAATTTATACATTAGAGTATAACCATTGCAAATAATTATAGGAAGATCCTAGTTATTCTTGGAAGACTACAGGTCCCATGGGACACTTAAAAGGAGAAAAGGCACCCAATTGGGTGCATAGAAAAGAGATTTTTTAACAAGAGGCCCATGTGCCACCTCGCTAGGCAAAAAGCAAAAATCAATCCAGTTTTGAACACCAAAATGTATGTGGTCCTAACCTACCCCTAAAAGGCAGAAGGGGGATGATTTGAATCAAACTGAATCTACAAAGAATGCTACTGCTGTTCTTGAGAAGATTTTTCCTATATATTCCTATGTAAAACTTTGGTTGTCTATTTTGGCCCCGCCCTACCCCCAGGGGTCATGATTTGAACCACACTACCTAAGGATGCTTCCATACAAATATGACCAATCATGGCTCAGATGTTCTTGAGAAAAATATTTTTAAAGATTTTTTCCTATATTCCTATGTAAAACTTTGGTCGTCCATTGTGGCCCATCCTTCCCCCAGGGGTCTTGATTTAAAAATCTTGAATTTGCACTACCCGGGGATGCTTCCATATGACTATGACCAACCATGGCTTTGTTGTTCTTGAGATTTTTTAAAGATTTTTCCATTATATTCCTATGTAAAACTTTGATCGTCCATTGTGGCCCCACCCTACCCCATGGGGTCATGATTTGAACAAACTTGAATCTACACTACTTGAGGATGTTTCTACTTAGTTTCACCTTTCCCTACCCAATGGTTCTTGAGAAGATTTTTAAAACATGCCACCAAATTTTCAATAATTCTTAATTATCTCCCCTTGAATAAAAGCATGGCTCTTTATTGAAACTTTGAATTCCCTTCACCCAAAAATGCTTTGTGGTAAGTTTGGTTAAAATCAGCCCAGTGGTTTTCGAGAAGTCAAAAATGTCAAGAGTTTACAGACAGACAGACGGTCCAGAAATGTCTGACGTTGTGAAGGACTCATGTCTAGACTGGCATACATTGTTGAGAGTCTATGTGTATTTGTCGTCGCATTGATGACAACTCCACATCTGGATGCAATTTCACTCACAGCATGCCAGCCTGAACAATACGATGCAGATGATTTTGACCAAAAATGAATTTGTTACATACAGTGATTCCAAAAGCATTTCGGTACTGGAGAAGAAGTGTTATTCCTCGGTGCACATCATTTGGCACTAAAATCGAATTAAATTTCTGCCTTTGCCACTTGTATTGCCCGAGTAAATCTTTTTCTGCCTCATCTTCAATAGACTGTGGCCGAGTTTTCAGTATAGTGTAGAACTACTGTGGCAGACACAAGAAATTCTATTTTTTTTTTTATTAATTTCATCATATTTTTTTGCATGGAATAAGTTATACATCTATACTTTCTAACTCTACCATTAAAAAGATAACGTTCTTGGGAAAAATGTGGGTTTTTTTTTTAAATAATCGGGCTGTACACATCAAATGTTGGACGAACAGGACTGACAAATTTACTTGTACCTTCCATCAAATCCAACATAATTTGCCATTCTACATTTGGAAAACTGTATTCTTGCAAAATATTTTGGATTAAACCCCAACACTTATTACAAAATAATAAAAAAATGGAAAAAACTGAAAATATGTTGGATGAACAGGGATAGACAAAAAGTCTATTTTGCAGCTCTTGCTGTTCAAGAAAAAAACATTTTGAAACTTGAAATTTGAAGTATAAGAAAACCAAAGAGAGAAACAAAAATAAAAATTGGGAAAAAATGATAAAACAGGAATGTAATTTTAAAATTTCCTATTTTGTGTTGGAATAACGAAAGACGGATGTTGGAAAAACCTGGACGGACACAAGGATCCTTTTTGGATGTTTGTCTTAATTTTTCATTATTTATATTTTGCCAAGAGAAAAACAAATCATATGAAAAACAAATATGATGCAATAGGTCCATTTATTTATACAATGATGGGAATATAGTCTATCTAGTGCTTCTCAGAATCTTCTCTGTCTCTTTAGTAAATCCTGTTGAAAAAAGTAGTTCAAGATATTCAATCTGTTTCATTTAATAAATTTATTGTTCACAGTACTTACTTTCATAAATATATTCAATATATATAGATCTATAGTTCTACAAGAAAAACCCTTTCGGTCAAGTTTGCTAGACATTACACTTAACATTTTACATTCAATATCATTATCGTAAAAGATCTATAAATTACATTTTACTTACGATAATATACACGAGACCCTCTCATCTCAACAGATGGAACATCTATCTGCCTCATAACATCTGAAGGGAGTAGAGTGTGAAGTATTGCTCCTTCCACCCATAATTTTAGAGACCTCTTAAACTCCATAAATCTAACATATGGCCAATTGTCAACCTGTTTAAAAACAAACTGCATATTATCTACCTGTTGCGATCATCTACATGCATGTAGCAATATGTGTATAGTACTTGAATGCACATAATGTACTTAATTGTTTCCATATTTATCAACAATATAAAATATTTATCTAAAAGACTTTAGCACAATTAATCAAAAGCTGAATAAATTGAAAACCTTCAAATTTGATCATTTTTAGGTGAATTTAATTGAACTCCAACTCAAACTAAAATAAACAGTAAAATTCAAATTTCAACTTCTAGACTCACAACTACAAATAAATCATATAAATACCTGCAGTCCTCACTTGACCCACTGACGACTTCAGGTACGCAAGTCTCAGGCATGTCTGGTGCTGAATATCGACCCAGTATTGAGCCACCTTCCTCTGCTGAAAGATGCTCCCTGGACAACACAGAACGAGGGATACCAACAAGTTGATCCTACAGGGCAATGTCCTGTGCTGGCAGCCAGGCTACTGGGGATCTGCAGAAAAGAAGCAAATCATAAAATCATATTTCTACTCATATGCTTACTTTCAAATAAGTAGGAAATTTTTTTACACATTTAATTCCCTTAAACCTTATACAGTGAACATTCAGATATCCGGACGCCAGATATCCTATCCGGATGCTTCATTATCCGGACGATTTTTCATCGGAACGAAATTTTTAAATGTTATTTTGTCTTGTTTAACTGGTGATTCAGATATCCGGACAAATTGAATGGGAACCAAAGTGTCCGGATAAATGAGGGTCCACTGTAATTTCAAAACAAAATTCCTATAAATACCTGCAGTCCTCACTTGACCCACTGTCGACTTCAGGTACGCAAGTCTCAGGCATGTCTGGTGCTGAACATCGACCCAGTATTGAGCGATCTTGGTCTGTAGAAAGATGCTCCCTGGACAACACAGAACGAGGGATACCAACAAGTTGGTCCTACGGGGCCATGTCCTGTGCTGGCAGCCAGGCTACTGTAGAGCTGCAGTCCTCACTTGACCCATTGTCGACTTCTTCAGGTACACAAGTCTCAGGCATGTCTGGTGCTGAACATCGACCAAGTATTGAGCCACCTTCGTCTGCAGAAAGATGCTCCCTGGACAACACAGAACGAGGGATACCAACAAGTTGATCCTCCGGGGCCATGTCCTGTGCTGGCAGCCAGGCTACTGGGGATCTGCAGAAAAGAAGCAAATCATAAAATCATACTTCTACTCATATGCTTACTTTCCAATATGTAGGAAAATTTTTACACAATTAATTCTCCTAAACCTAATAATTTCAAAACAAAATTCATATAAATATCAGCAGTCCTCACATGACCCATTATCGACTTCAGGTACGCAAGTTTCAGGCATGTCTGGTGCTGAACATCGACCCAGTATTGAGCGATCTTGGTCTGTAGAAAGATGCTCCCTGGAAAACACAGAACGAGGGATACCAACAAGTTGATCCTCCGGGGCCATGTCCTGTGCTGGCAGCCAGGCTACTGGGGATCTGCAGAAAAGATGCAAATCATAAAATCATACTTCTCCTCATATGCTTACTTTCCAATATGTAGGAAATTTTTTTACACATTTAATTCTCTAAAGCCTAATAATTTCAAAACAAAATTCATATAAATACCTGCAGTCCTCACTTGACCCACTGTCAACTTCAGGTACGCAAGTCTCAGGCATGTCTGGTGCTGAACACCGACCCAGTATTGAGCCATCTTGGTCTGCAGAAAGATGCTCCCTGGACAACACAGAACGAGGAATACCAACAAGTTGATCCTCCGGGGCCATGTCCTGTGCTGGCAGCCAGGCTATTTGGGATCTGCAGAAAGAAGCAAATCATAAAATCATATTTATACTCATATGCTAACTTTCAAATATGTAGGAAAATTTGTACACATTTAATTCTCTTAAACCTAATAATTTCAAAACAAAATTCCTATAAATACCTACAGTCCTCACTTGACCCATAGACGACTTCAGGTACGCAAGTTTCAGGCATGTCTGGTGCTGAACATCGACCCAGTATTGAGCTATCTTCGTCTGTAGAAAGATGCTCCCTGGACAACACAGAACGAGGGATATCAACAAGTTGATCCTCCGGGGCCATGTCCTGTGCTGGCAGCCAGGCTACTGGGGATCTGCAGAAAAGAAGCAAATCATAAAATCATACTTCTACTCATATGCTTACTTTCAAATATGTAGGAAATTTTTTTTACACATTTAATTCTCTTAAGCCTAATAATTTCAAAACAAAATTCCTATAAATACCTGCAGTCCTCACTTGACCCACTGTCAACTTCAGGTACGCAAGTCTCAGGCATGTCTGGTGCTGAACATCGACCCAGTATTGAGACATCTTGGTCTGTAGAAAGATGCTCCCTGGACAACACAGAATGAGGGATACCAACAAGTTGGTCCTACGGGGTCATGTCCTGTGCTGGCAGCCAGGCTACTGGGGAGCTTCAGTCCTCACTTGACCCATAGACGACTTCAGGTACGCAAGTTTCAGGCATGTCTGGTGCTGAACATCGACCCAGTATTGAGCTATCTTCGTCTGTAGAAAGATGCTCCCTGGACAACACAAAACGAGGGATATCAACAAGTTGATCCTCCGGGGCCATGTCCTGTGCTGGCAGCCAGGCTACTGGGGATCTGCAGAAAAGAAGCAAATCATAAAATCATACTTCTACTCATATGCTTACTTTCAAATATGTAGGAAATTTTTTTTACACATTTAATTCTCTTAAGCCTAATAATTTCAAAACAAAATTCCTATAAATACCTGCAGTCCTCACTTGACCCACTGTCAACTTCAGGTACGCAAGTCTCAGGCATGTCTGGTGCTGAACATCGACCCAGTATTGAGACATCCTGGTCTGTAGAAAGATGCTCCCTGGACAACACAGAATGAGGGATACCAACAAGTTGGTCCTACGGGGCCATGTCCTGTGCTGGCAGCCAGGCTACTGGGGAGCTTCAGTCCTCACTTGACCCATAGACGACTTCAGGTACGCAAGTCTCAGGCATGTCTGGTGCTGAACATCGACCCAGTGTTGAGACATCTTGGTCTGCAGAAAGATGCTCCCTGGACAACACAGAACGAGGGATACCAACAAGTTGATCCTCCAGGGCCATGTCCTGTGCTGGCAGCCAGGCTACTGGGGATCTGCAGAAAAGAAGCAAATCATAAAATCATACTTCTACTCATATGCTTACTTTCAAAGATGTAGGAAAATTTTTTTACACATTTAATTCTCTTAAGCCTAATAATTTCAAATCAAAATTCCTATAAATACCTGCAGTCCTCACTTGACCCACTGTCAACTTCAGGTACGCAAGTCTCAGGCATGTCTGGTGCTGAACATCGACCCAGTATTGAGACATCTTGGTCTGTAGAAAGATGCTCCCTGGACAACACAGAATGAGGGATACCAACAAGTTGGTCCTACGGGGCCATGTCCTGTGCTGGCAGCCAGGCTACTGGGGAGCTTCAGTCCTCACTTGACCCATAGACGACTTCAGGTACGCAAGTTTCAGGCATGTCTGGTGCTGAACATCGACCCAGTATTGAGCTATCTTCGTCTGTAGAAAGATGCTCCCTGGAAAACACAAAACGAGGGATATCAACAAGTTGATCCTCCGGGGCCATGTCCTGTGCTGGCAGCCAGGCTACTGGGGATCTGCAGAAAAGAAGCAAATCATAAAATCATACTTCTACTCATATGCTTACTTTCAAATATGTAGGAAAATTTTTTTACACATTTAATTCTCTTAAGCCTTATAATTTCAAAACAAAATTCCTATAAATACCTGCAGTCCTCACTTGACCCACTGTCAACTTCAGGTACGCAAGTCTCAGGCATGTCTGGTGCTGAACATCGACCCAGTATTGAGACATCTTGGTCTGTAGAAAGATGCTCCCTGGACAACACAGAATGAGGGATACCAACAAGTTGGTCCTACGGGGCCATGTCCTGTGCTGGCAGCCAGGCTACTGGGGAGCTTCAGTCCTCACTTGACCCATAGACGACTTCAGGTACGCAAGTCTCAGGCATGTCTGGTGCTGAACATCGACCCAGTGTTGAGACATCTTGGTCTGCAGAAAGATGCTCCCTGGACAACACAGAACGAGGGATACCAACAAGTTGATCCTCCAGGGCCATGTCCTGTGCTGGCAGCCAGGCTCCTGGGGATCTGCAGAAAATATTTTTTATTAAAGAATCATTAGTAGTAAAATTAGCAAAATAGTTGTGTCTGTAAAATAAGATTTTATAGGTTCATACAATCATTTAATATAAGACCCTATGCAATGTCACATTTCACATTTCAAAAAAAGCGTAATTTTGAAAATAAAAAATGAATATTTTTTTATGAATGACTTTGGCTTATGAAATTGTCTTAGATATATCTAACCTGTAAAGCATATAATTTTTGTGTCTCAAGTTTATTAGTTTATGTAGAAAATTAATAAAATAATTTTTTCATAAGCCACCCTAAATTTTTCACCTGACTGAAAACTTGGCCTTATACATGTACACTCTCTTGTGGCAACCAAGTATCAGCTTAAGCTTCCGTCCACTCCTTTACAAGCATCCTTGCCGGCTCCTCTCCACGCCGAGCATTATATAATGTCAGCCCTGCCACAATAAGAGACCATAACCATGCATACTTCTCCAAGGTAAAACATTCCACAGGTTCTTTGATTTCGGATTGGATGAAGTTGTTCAGGTTTGCCATTTCTGCGTCTGATGGTAAATTTTCGGGCTTTCGAGACTTTTCCATAGAGTTTTAATTGCATTGATGTCTGGCACTAGAACATACTGGGGAATATACCGTAATTAGTCAAACTATGGTTTGGCAAGTACAAAGTAAAATTCAATTTGTAGTGATTTCCAATCAAAGAAAATTTCCTACGGTTTCCAAGAATCAAATTGTACTTTTGACTAAGAAATGAAACAGTCTTAACATGATGAATTAGAACTGCAAGCAGTGTTTACAACTGTACTTTACAACCATGCATGTTTAAGTTTCATTTTACATTCAGGTACATACCTGCTGTTCAGAGCTGTCAACCCTTCTTAAGGTCTCTGAGGTACTGAAAATAAAAATTTCAGTGTTTTAGGAACATTATACAGTGAGGCATACATGTATAACTTACAAACAAGATCCTTAATTGATACATTCAAGTCTATTCTGATGGTCAAGTAAAAACAAACCTACCAATCTCAGAATCAATGGAATTGTTCGATGAGTCCAGAATGTAATGCAAATCACTTAACCTGGAAGCATCTGAAAATAAAAATGTTGAAGGCATGTACAGATAAATAATGATTATTCTTTATACAATCATGTATAAATATTATACAACACAAGAAACCTGTGAGCCAATGCTCACTAGTAATACCCCCGCTCTGATGTAAATAAACACTATCATGTTGATAAACACAAGATAAATTACTGGCAGATGCACAGAAAAATATGAAGTTGACATCAGATTCATATCAAAATTAATCCCACCATATGGCCTGCCTCAACAAAGATTGTACTAAATTTTCAAGAACCTGCGATGAATAGTTAATGAGGAAACTGCGACTAAAATTTGCTATGTATGAAACGGACAGACGCACAGACAAACAGGAAGTCGACATCGGCTTTGAACAAAAATGTATCCAACTATGATGTGTCTCAGAGAAGATTGTATCAAAATTTCAAGCATCTGTGATGAATATTCAATGAGGAAACTGCGACGAAAATTTGTTATGTATGAAACGGACAGACGCACAAACAAACAGGAAGTTGACATCGGATTTGAACAAAAATTTATCCAACCGTATAGCATGAAATTTTGATACAGTCTTCTCTGAGGCACGCCATAGTTGGATACATTTTTGTTCAAAGCCGATGTTGTTCAAAACATTGTGTTAAAATTTCAAGCATCTGCGATGAGTAGTTGCTTAGAAAATTGTGACGAAAATTTGTTATGTATGAAACCGACAGACGCACATACAAACAGGAAGTTGAAATCAGATTTGAACAAAAATGTATTCCATGGTATGGCATGCCTCAGAGAAAATTGTGTTAAAATTTGAAGCATCTGCGATGAGTAGTTGCTGAGAAAACTGTGATGAAAATTTGTTACGGACAGACACATGGACAGACAGACAAACAAGGGTAAAACAGTATACCCCCCTCTCCTTCGGAGCGGGGGTATAACAAATTGTATGTATATTATCATTATTGAAGATGAAAGTGTCACAAAGACAATGTGGTATAAGTTATGTACACTTTTAAGTGTTTACATTCAAAAGTCCATAGTATCTTATAGAATATTTTTGAAAAGGTTGTCATGCAAACCATCATCTCTATAGCAGTGATATGACACAAGCTCTGTCCTATCATCAATATTTTCAAGGGTAGCTATTACCATGAAAACGATATGATCTATGACATCACCACAGAACTTAGCAAGTTTTTGCAGACAGACACCGACTTACAAGTACATGTACACGACAATTGAGCAGACAATGTAAGGGTTACTTTAGGGATTTTGCACTTCTTGAAAGATCATAATTGACACTGTCTTTAAGAAGCATGGACCTATTGGGATAGTATTTCTGCCCTGTCTTTTATATCAATCTGTACTTTAAATGAGCCATAAAGGAGACCGCTTAAAAATGGGCATAAAGTAGACCATTCAAATACATGTATATAAATACAACTGTATAAAAAAAAATCACTTTTTCTATCAATCTCATATCAACATTAATATCTTCATACGGCCACAATGAAAGGAAATTAATTAACAATATCCAAGTAAAATCAATTTACCTTTGAATTTTTGAGTACTTACCTTTCCCGAATTCCTCATTTCCTTTCTCCGAATCTTGAGTATTTACTTCCTGAAAGAAATTTATACAAGTGCTCTGAAATTCAGGTAGCTCTTGCAATCAAAGCCTCATTCATATCAATAAAAATACTACAAACACTTTCAAACAGATTTTTTTTGTATCTTATAGCTAAATGTAATTCTTAATTAATTTAAAGTGCATTTCATAATTTCATTACCATGAAAACGATATGATCTATGACATGACACCACAGAACTTAGCAAGTTTTTGCAGACAGACACTGACTTACAAGTACATGTACACGACAATTGAGCAGACAATGTAAGGGTTACTTTAAGGATTTTGCACTTCTTGAAAGATCATAATTGACACTGTCTTTAAGAAGCATGGACCTATTGGGATAGTATTTCTGCCTTGTCTTTTATATCAATCTGTACTTTAAATGAGCCATAAAGGAGACCGCTTAAAAATGGGCATAAAGTAGACCATTCAAATACATGTATATAAATACAACTGTATAAAAAAAATCAGCTTTTCCTATCAATCTCATATCAACATTAATACCTTCATACGGCCACAATGAAAGGAAATTAATTAACAATATCCAAGTAAAATCAATTTACCTTTGAATTTTTGAGTACTTACCTTTCCCGAATTCCTCATTTCCTTTCTCCGAATCTTGCGTATTTACTTCCTGAAAGAAATTTATACAAGTGCTCTGAAATTCAGGTAGCTCTTGCAATCAAAGCCTCATTCATATCAATAAAAATACTACAAACACTTTCAAACAGATTTTTTTTGTATCTTATAGCTAAATGTAATTCTTAATTAATTTAAAGTGCATTTCATAATTTGCATTGATTTTTGAATATCTTGTTTGTCAATACACTCACTGTACTACACCTATAGATTCCACTATTTAATTGATAACAAAATAATTGAACAGCGGTATGCTGATATTTTTGCTGGTCATCTGCATTGCATATAGAAATAAGGAAATCAAAAAATATAAACAGGGTATCAAAAAGTTTGATAGAGATTTTTCAGTTTTCCATAACAGAGGTGTGAGGTTATTGTCACGATATGTATATATCCAGATTATATGATACCCTTCTAGAGCGTACCTCTTAGAGTGTGGAGTGTCACATACTGTATGTTTGTTCAGTAAGAGACCATTCATAATCATAAACTACTTCTAGTGTTTGCCAATACATACTGAATATCTCTTGTACCCATTGTGCTCACATTTGTCTTTCTGCAGGCTTCATCTGCTTCTTGGCACCTACTGGGGAATATACCGTTATTAGTCAAACTATGGTTTGGCAAGTGCAAAGTAAAATTCAATTTGTAGTGATTTCAAATTGAGATTCCGTGGAGATTATGACCCTGTGGAAAAAAGTATGTCTACAGTAATTTTTTTTATAAACTAATGTCTAATATTTGAGTCATCGTTGAAAACCGATGCACTAGTTTATGCATCTTAGTGTTGTCTACTTGTGTGCCAAGTACACTTAAAAGTAAATTTTTTGTGGGCTAATAGGTTTTTAATAAATTCAAACAATGAAATAAATTTGATTTATTTCTTGTAGTCATTTTGCTCATAAATTATGTGACTAGATTAAGTAAAATAAACAATGATAAAGCATAAAACAATGGTTGAATGTCTTTTCTTCATTTAAAATTACCGTTCACGGTAGCTCAGTCGGTAGAGCGCTCGCTCCATGATCGGGAGGTCGTGAGTTCGTATCTCCGCCGCGACTGACCTAGTCGTTAAAGTGGGTAGCAACTGTTCCTTCGCCATGCGCTCGGCACTTTGAAGTGAAAGTTGCGGGTCCTTCGGATGAGACCTTAAAAACCGAGGCCCCGTGTCAGCGGCAGGCATTGGCACGATAAATATCCCTCACTGCTCAATGGCCCTGAGTGCCGAGTAAAGGTCAAAATTTGAAGCCCTTCACCGGCATACGGTGACGTCTCCATATGAGTGAAAAATTCTCGAGAGGGACGTTAAACAATATACAATCAATCAATCAATTCATTTAAAATTAATCTTATGGAAAATAGCCGTACTTAGACAAAATTAAATGATACATATCGAACTGAAAAGGAGGCGCATTGTTTCACCTCTAATAAATTACGGTATAATTTTAGGATATTTCAAAGTTGTAAATACAGGTATATTTTTCATGTCCAAAATGATAGCGAATTTATTTTTTTTAATTCATGCTAATAGCTCTTCAATCTTATGATTGAATGTTTTATCTTTGCTTAAAAGAAGATCAACAAACATACCATGTGTTTCCCTCTTGTTAATCCCAGCATATTGGCTCACTCCAAAGACATAGCAGATTTGACCATGTGTTGACCCAGTTTTCTCATTCTATTCATAAAGGAGGTAAATGCAAGATAATTAATAAAATCAAAACAGCAGAACTGTCAGGGGTTTGCAATATTACAAGAATAATTACAAGCCTAATGGCTATAAGTTAAAGTAAAAAAAATTATTGAAGTTGAAATAAATAAGACAAGCAATGGGATGACAGATATTGACCAATGATACAGAGTACCCCCTTCCCCAGAATTGCACTCATTTACACAGGTCGAGGAAACTACCTTATATGAATATTGTTGCAATTGCACACAGAGGTGCTCACAGCAAACAATGGTCCAATCCATGAATGAGCCGAAAAGCATGATGGTCCACAACATGTTTATTTTTACTACAAACACATCACGGAAATTTAGGATGCGATTTCAAACGACTACAGGAAAGTCAGCTAACAATTTTTTTTAGATGTGTTATGAAAAATACAAAGACTGGGTACTAATTGAGATTCCCCATGCTCACATTAACAAACTAAGTAAGTTTTCCTTGTTAAATAGTACTTTGAAATACAGCTCACAAAGTCTTCACAAGTAAATAAGACTCAAGTTCTTTAACTCGATATTCATTGATTTGCCATGTTACTGGTTAAATTTATTTAGTTCTTGCTCAGTTATTTGTTACTTGAAATTAAAAGTTGCATTTCATAACCCCCCCCCCCCCCCCCCCCCCCCCCCCCCCCCCCCCCACACACACACACACACACACACAAAAGAAGTTGCACTTTTTTATTATTTAGTTATTTACCTGTTATATAAACCCTCATGCAAATTGATAATAGAACGTGAGTAGCATATATTTCGAAGTTGTATACGTTGGAAACATTGACAATATGTGAGCACACCTCAAAGTAACTGTTGATTGTTTTTGGACCAAGGAATTGTCACCTGAAATTGATTTTTCACTGAAAGCACAGCACGGGGAAAGCTGTCAACAACCGGACTTGTACAATACAGTGAAGAAAACCCTAATCTTTATCACTGTAAATCATTTGTATATAAATGTGAGCATGCAATCAGTAGATAATGACGTTCATATTGTATTAAGTGTGTAAAATGCTTGGAAAAATGCATCATGTTTTTCCGAGAGCATTTTCAAAATTTTATCTTGAGAAACATTGGTGTTGTATTTTTGTAGTAGACCATAATGCAACTCATTGAGCTGATTGGTCGATTTTTGTCAGTCACGTTGGTTCCTCACTCAACATGTAAATTTATTCTGACGTCACAGAAAATGATTTCCTCGACCTGTTACACTTGCAGCATGTGCAGAGGAACTGCACTGATAAAATGTTATATCAATTTCTTCTATGCAATATATGGCATGCTTGATATACATGTCTTTATTTTCTTTGTCTCTGTAAACTGAGTGGTATCAAAACTCTGCTAGCCGAGTGGAGATGTTGAATTCAACCATGAAATGGTATGTGCAAAGTATTCCCGAAAAATGCTAACAGAGTTTTTCATTATGTTTTAAATCTTCCTTAACAACTCGCTAATTTGTGTTTCCATGTTTGACTGCAGGGAAAATGAAAATGAGGCAGCTTGTGCGAGTCATATTATTCACTTTCAGCGGTCATTATGAAAAAATTAACTACTTTGTAAATGTCCAATCAGATTACCAGATTTCACAAAGTTATATAATATGATATATATTAAGTAGATGTATTATGTATAAAATATTGCATGCAGTTAAAATAACAATGAAAATGTTTACTCCAAAAAAACAAATAAGAACTGAGACAGTCTATCTGAAAAGCACCGATCCGTTGGACAAAACAGGTGAAAAACTACTAGTAATTGGTCCAATACACTCACTGCTAAAATTGGTATGTTTGTCCGAGGTTGATTTTTTTTGGGTGGGTTTTTAATTTTATATTTGTTACTTCATCTTATTGACACTTACTTATAAATACCAAAACACTTTTCTAAATTAAAACATTTTGTTGATTGTGATTGTCTTACCCTGCAGTTTGAATCCCAGAAGGTCCCATGTTAAAGCAGGTGTTGGCACAAAATAAATTCTCTCCCTGCTTTATGGCTTTAAATGCCGACTATAGGACAAAATTTGCTGCTGTCCACCGGCAAGTGGTGGCATCTCCAAATGTTTGAAAAATTCTCAAGACGGACATTAAATAATATACAAGTTGCTGTCCTTACGTTGACCATATGCATGTTTTTTCTAACTGAAATTCAATTAAGAAAATTTCTAGGGGTATAGGGAATTTGTTCGTAGCCTCGATCATTTGAAGCAAAATTATGAAATTTTACCTCCGATTAGACGACCTTTAGTTTTGTCATTTTAAAAATCAGGTTATTTTGATACTCATGAAACTCATACTTGCTGGGACTTGACATCTGTTCTGGATTATACGGAAGAAATTAATCTTGAGAGAAATAGAGATCCGATTGTTCACGAGTGTTACAGCTCTGTAGTACGCAGATTTTTTCGGAGCCCGCACCCCCCACTCCCACACACACATTAAAAGCCATTGCTACAGACCTTTATCAAACGATATTTAGATTGCTGAAATATTTAATTATTTCGCGAGCCTTGATGCATAAAACTAATGCCGGTGAAAATTCGCTCTATCTTTTTATAGCTATCTCTATTCGCTGAGTGACGTTTTTCATTCAAGTTGTAAGTTACAAGTATCTGTATACTGTAACTTTTTAAAATGCTTGTACCATAGAATCAATGTTTAGTTTGTATATAAAAGTATATGTAAAAGAGAGAAAATAGGATCTGCCAATGAATATGTAAATGCGACATGCAGATTCATTTAAAAGCACAATTTACCAATGAATGGCATATTTTAATTCGAATAGGGCGAATTATTCTACGAGCAGGTTACCTAAGGTGCAAACTCTCTAGCATTTTCGTGAATGCGTAGCCTGTCGTTCGCCCACGGCATCCGGTTTAACCTTGCTTATATATTTACTGCGTGGACCTCAGGGTCCACGCAATCAATCAATTCCAATTCCATTCAAAAAAATATTTTAAAAAAATTGCTTGTGTAACTCTTTTGTGTGGGAGATAAGGAAATTTGTTTGTGATACCCATGTACCCTGTATCTTTAAAACAGTGGTTGAAATTACCAAGTCACCAAACGGGTGTTGCTAAAACGCGGAACTGAAAACGGAACGGAACTGAAAACGGAATATATTATTTTGGATTAAATCACTTAAAATACACAAATTTTATCATAAACGATATATTTTGTACATATTCAAGTTAATGTTTTCATGCTCAGTCTCTTATTTACGAAAATCGCTGACATAGCGGTCATTTAGAATCAAAATTGAAAAGGGGGGCGCAAATTAAACAAACTTGAAAAGTATTTGACAAGCAAAATCACAAAAAAGACAATTGTTTGATTCGGGAGGGGGGGGGGGGAGTTCCAACTATACAGCTTTAGAATTTGTTATTGTGAAGAAAATAGTACTGAAAGTACTGAAAAGCGGTTAGCATGCTTTCATGGAATATGACTGTACAGAGTAGAATAACAAAAAATGTATTGAGTGATGATATAAAAGTAAGCATGCATATCTTTGTCCAATGTCATCAGCGAAGAAGCAGACACACTGAATTTTGTAGTACTTAACTAAATGGTAAAACCAATAACATCCCAGATTGATGTCACAAATGTATGTTTCAAAATATCAACCTGAGATTTTCAGTTTGAAAGACAGGAAGTTCAATTTCAAAAATTTCTTCCTAATTGTCCCCATTGGTGGCGTCCAAAAGTGCTCAGAACAAAAAAAAAAAATATGTTGATGTTGCAAATTTAATTGTCTTTCATGCTCTATTGATTCTGAAATTAGCATGACTAGGTAACTGTAAAGGCTACTATAACAAACAACTCAAAAAGAAAATTAAATGATAATTCAAATTCTTTAGATTAATTTATTTGATGTACTGTACATAGATCTTTAGCTGGCTAGTTTGAGAAAAACGGATGGACGAGCAGAGAATTTGTAAATTAATTAATTTCAGAGAGCTTCAGTTTCGTAGGCTCACTGCGGGTCAGCAGGTGTGACCTGTCATTGTGGATGCTAGTTCTCCTAGGCACCGGAACTTTCAAGGATCCGTTTTTCTTTTGAGACCGATCGCTGTTTATTCTGTATTTTGATACAGATACTGAGTACATCTGTTTATTAATATTATGAACTATTTCTCTCACAGGAAGAAAGACAAGTAAACAAGATAATAAAGTTTTAAGAAATGTACATTATTGACTTTTCATACAATTAAATGTTCGAATAAGTAATAAATGACAATTATTTAAAAAAGAGTCGGCAAATATTTAAATAAAAATGTGATCGTTTATAATCGTTTGTAATAATTAGACTGAGTACAGAATTTATCCCTGGAAACAAAGCTTTCATCATCTTTTAAATACAGTCAAACTTGTCTTAGCGGCCACCCGAAATCAACGGCCACTTGCGATCAGCGGCCACTTTCAGTTCCCCCCGATGATTTTTCCTATATATTTTAACTGGAATAAACGGCCACCTGTGTAACGCGGCCAGCGGCCACTCAAATCCTCCCCGGACAGCCTTACTGACACTGTAATAGACGGCCATTTCGTCAATTGCTGCGATTCAATTATGTCTTTTAAACTTGTTCGCTTGGGTAATTATATCCCGGTAGTCAATACCCAGTTATTAATGCAATTAAAACAAATTACTATTGGATACACTGAATTCTTTTTGTGTTTATGAAAAAAACGGCTAGATAAATTTGTCATTATTTTTCAAGTTCGCCGATTGAAAAATAAAAAGAATTTAAACACAATTTATAGTTTCCTCTACCTAAAGAAATTCACACCTTTAGATTTTGATTTCAAGTAGAAGCCCTAATTGCTACACTTGTGAAAACAAAGTGCTTCATGCGGCATGACTATCTCGTGAATTTCACTATCAACAGACGATCGATAGGGATTAGTCACGCTCCACTGCATATGACACCTGTGTTATGGAATGATTTTCAACTGC